TGTTTTATTCCTATGCCTTCCTCAGCCGATTCTGTATAGGTAAAACAGGTTCTGAGTGGAACTGTATTCATGTTAAATTTTTTAACAAGTGTTTTTTATTCCTTTGTCAGAAGAAGATTCACTTTTTTCCATTGGGTGAGGATTTGTTTAACTTGTGATTTGAATAGTACTAGAAGTATGTAAAGATGCAGAGATGTATATAAATAGAAAAATACATTATACAGTGTTCCATATATATATATATATATATGTTAAAGCTAATATTTTAACATAAATAAAGCTGTTTTTACATATACTAATGATGCTCTACATGTTTTTTTAAAAATACATCAATGAATTTGTGATATAAATATTCTGATAGGCTTAATGAGAAATATTTTCTTTTATTAGTGGTCAAGTGGGTTCTCGCAGTCCTTCTATGATTAGTAATGATTCTGAAACCTTAGAAGAGTGTATGGTGTGCTCAGATATGAAGAGAGACACTCTTTTTGGCCCATGTGGACATATTGCTACCTGTTCTTTATGTTCTCCACGAGTCAAGAAATGCCTCATCTGTAAAGAACAAGTTCAATCCAGGACAAAGGTAATACATAATATTTTTTTTGGTAATACATTTTTAATATAGTATTGGGTTGTCGGAAAAGTCATGATGCATTTTTGCAATGAAAAACATAGAAAAAATACGTCATGACTTTTCCTACAACCCAATACTTTTATAATTTTATGAAGTGCTTTGAAACTACAATTAATGATAAATAAGATTATATGATGCCATGTGTCTTTTTAATTTTGTTCTTCCTGAGAATGATATAAATATAGGAAAGTATAATTTATATATCAAGAGACCATTTATGAGTTTTCTTCTTCATATGTAAACTATAGTAGTTAAAAATAAAAGTAATGTATTTTGCTTTCAAAGTCCCTTATAACCTAAAGATGTATTTAATTCCACTTTGTATACTAGTTACTTACATATTACACCTTTTTTGAGTGCATGGACTGTTTTATATTGTATTTATCTTTGTAAAAGACCACTGAATTTTT